CTTCAGCTGCCGCGCTGGCCAGCCACCTGGAGGCCCACTCGGGGCCCGCCACCTACGGCTGCGGCCACTGCGGGGCCCTGTACGCGGCCCTGGCGGCCCTAGAAGAGCACCGGCGGGCCAGCCACGGCGAGGGTGGAGGGGCGGAGGCGACGCCCGCGGCCCCGGAGGGGGAGCCGGCGGCCGGGGAGGCCGCGTCCGGCTCGGGCCGGGGCAAGAAGATCTTCGGCTGCTCCGAGTGCGAGAAGCTGTTCCGCTCGCCGCGCGACCTGGAGCGGCACGTGCTGGTGCACACGGGCGAGAAGCCGTTCCCGTGCCTCGAGTGCGGCAAGTTCTTCCGCCACGAGTGCTACCTCAAGCGCCACCGGCTGCTGCATGGCACCGAGCGGCCCTTTCCCTGCCACATTTGCGGCAAGGGCTTCATCACGCTCAGCAACCTCTCTCGGCACCTGAAGCTGCACCGGGGCATGGACTGACGGCCAGGCCGCGCCTCCGCCCAACCGCCCCTCCCCGGGGCGGGGCTGGACTTGGGCCCGGCCCGGTCTGGATCCAGATCCACGGGCCCTGAAGCAAGGGGACCCTGGCTGGAGAGACAGGGCCCTGAGCTGGAGGGCAGCAAATAAACGGAGAGATTCCTCAGCTCCGGGGTCCAGGGTCCATGAAGAGACCCCTGGAATATACGCTGGGCACCCCCAAGTCAATAGGCAGCCTCCAAGCTGTGGGGACCTAGCAGTGAGAAATGGGTCTCCCAAGTACTTCTCATCTTGAGGGCCCTAATAATGACGGATGGGCACCTTCCCCCCCCACCCCCAAGGGAAGGCTGCCCCTCTCCCTGAGAGCCATCATTCCCAACGACCTTGATCTGGAGAATGTGGGGAGATCATGACCCCGAATTTCCCTAGATCCCCTCCAAATGCTACCCACCAGTCACTGGCGTCCTCCCCCCCCAAAATGGATATAGCCGGAATCTGCCTTCCCCCACTCCCACCCCATTTCATTCCTTATGCTGAAAGAGGACCAGGGTAGATGTCCCCTGCCCTCAGCCCCCACTCCCCAATTAGGTCTCCCTCCCCTACTGCAGAATGGATCAACCCTAATGATCTTCCCCACCCCCAACCACTAGAATAGGCTGGTTTGAAATCCCTCCTGCCCAGTAGAATGAACTGATTCAGATACACACCCCTGTCCACTGGAATGGGCTGGTCCAGACTGTGGCCTGCCCCCCCACCCTCCTTAGGTGAATACGGCAGACACTCCTCCCTCGCTCTCAAGTGTGGGCCAGTCCACGTCATTCCCCATCCTGTGAACTCATCTGAATGGGAGGTGGTGGACATTGGGGTTTTCCTCCCACTCTGCTGTAGCACCTGTCAGTCTTTCCATCTCTGTTGGTTTGTCTGTCTCTGTGTTCCCCTCAACCCCAAGGGGGAAGGGGGTTTGGCTAGGGGGTTCCCCCCTGTGAGCCTCGACCTTGCCCCCTCATCCCACTCCCTAATGTCTCCAGGACCCCAATAAACCTTGTCCTGTCAGTCACTGATGTCTCATTTTCTGATCCTTGGCTCCAGAGAGGTGGGAGTTTCTCCCTCCCTGGTTTAGGACAGGCCCCCTAAATAAAGATCTTTCCTCCCTCCCTCCTGACAAATTTTGAGTCGAGAGTGCACGACCATTAAAATCAGAAAGGGTTTAAGTCTCACCAAAAGGGAACCCAGTCCCTTAAATACAACATCCGTCTCCAATGGGCTAAACATGCCCTTTAGAAACCATCAATCCCATAAGACTTGCCCCCTAAAAACCAAACTATCTCCTTAAAGAAAAGTTCTACCCCTAAGCAGAGACCCTATCTCTTAGACTCCACCTCCAGGTGTCCAAATTTGTACCTTGAACGCTTACATCCAATTCCTAGGATAGGATTCGCCCATCAGGGAAGGGGTCAGCCATTCGTATTGTCTTCTGTGCACTAGATTACATTCCTGTATACTGAGTGCCTATTCTGTGCCAGGCATTGTAATCCTCTCTGGGGATCCAACAGCAAAGGAAATAACTCCTCATGGGGTTTATATGTTTAGTGTGTGGGCGATAGGGTGGAGAAAAGAGTAATCAAAGAAAGGAGAGTAATTTCCAGATGGTTTTGAGCATCTGAAGGAGATGAGGAGAGGTGTTAAGAAAGTGACTCTGCCATCCCAGTTTGGGTGTCCCGTGGGCTTCTCTACAGAGGTGGCATTTGATCTGAAACCTGAAGGGTGGCGAGAGACCAGCGAGGAGGATGCCTGGATGGGCACGGAGAAGAGGGAAGAACTGAGGTCGAGGGGTCAGGTCACGCAGAGGCTGGTGGGCCTTCCAGGTCATCGAAAGCAAGATTTTAACGTGGAGGGATGGGATCACTCTTGCACTTTACAAAGTTCCCTCTGGCTGCTGAGTGGAGAAGGAACTGGAGGGGTACAGTGGAAGCAGAAGACTATAGCAGTCCAGCAGGAGAGATGGGGGGGGGGGGTGGCTAGACCTTAGTGGTGGAGAGAAATGGGTGGGTTCGAGATGAATTCTGTAAGTAGAATGTGAGTGTGTGTGTGTGTGTGTGTGTGTGTGTGTGTAACTGAAAGGGAGGAATCAAGAGGGTCTGGTTGAGTGGTGGCATTTTGAATTAAGAACAAAAAAGGGGAAGAACACATTTGGGTAGGGGTTTAGGTGAATCAAGAATTCCATTTTGAGCTTCTTAAATATAAGACGCCTGGGAGATTGGCATGCTCTAATAAGGCTGAAGATGTGCATATCTCGCGATGCAGCAATCCCACTGCTAGGCACAAGCCCCAGAGAAATCCCTTCACCTGCACTGGGAGACACATAGAAAAACACTCCCAGCAGCACATATGGTCAGCCTCAAACTCTAAACAACTGGAACATCACTGTGAGGGTCTGAATGTTCGTGTCCCCATCAAAATTGATATGTTGAAATCCTAAAGCCCAGTGTGACAATATTTGGAGATGGAGCCATTGCGAGGTGCTTAAATCACGAGGGTGGAGTCCTCATGCATGGGATTAGTGACCACATTCCAAAGGCTCCAGAGTGATCCCTAGTCCTCTCCACCATGTGAGGACGAAGCAAGAAGTCAGTGGCCATGAGGGCCTAGAAGAGGGCCTTCCCCAGAAGGCAAGCATGCTGGTGCCTTGATCTTGGACCTCTGGCTTCCAGGACTGTGAGCAATAAATTTCTGTTGTTTACAAGCCACCCAGTCTGCGGTATTTTGTTATAGCAGCCAGAACAGAATAAGACATCCATCAACAGTACAGCAGATCAATAAACAGTGCTATATTATGCTGTGGAATACTATACAGCAATGAAAAGGAGTGCAGAAACCCACATTTGCATGGATGAAAGTTACAAAGAAACCCAATGCAAGAAGGCAAGAAGAAGCCCATGGAGTATGATTCCATTTATATAACATTCATAAAGCCACCAAAACTATAATACTGTTTAGGATGTATCGTGGGTCGTGAACCATCTAGAAAAGTGAGGAAAACCTTTGCCCATAGAAACTCAGAACAGTGGGGTTGGATGCATCACGCCCAATCTTCTGTGGAGTCTGGGGTGGGAGCTAACATTCCATGTCTTAATCTGGTGATCCATTGATCATTCTTTGCTAACTGTGCATTTGTATCGTGCTCTTTTAGTCTATGAGTCTCGTATCTCACAAGAAAAAAAAAAAAATGTAAAAGAGGCAACCCGGGATCCAGGAAGCAGACTCATCCCCTGGGGCAAAAAAAAAAAAAAAAGAAGAAAAAAAAAGAGAATCTGTCTTGGAGAAACAAGACCCGCCCCCTTAGATTCAGGCACCGCCCCAGGGACAAGACCCGCTCGGTGTCGAGCACAGAGGGTCTGGAAAGGAGCCAGGGTTGTCATGGAGATGGCCTCCAGCTAAGGATTAATGAAGAGGGACCTGTGGAGGCTCCACTCCTCCCACCTCACCTCCAATCCAATCCTTTCTCTTCTGAGACAATAGCGAAAGGGATTCACCCATTTCCCCCATCCCCCCACCCCAGGGCCTCCCAAGGGCCCAAGGCTGGACCCTGTACCTGACTCCTCTCACTGTGGCCCCATTTCATAGGTGTGCTAACTGAGGCTCCGAAGGAACGAGGGAGGATTTTGCTCTCCAGAGAGCCGATTATTGGGCTGACGCTGACGACTCGCTCGCAGCTGATCCGTCCAGGCGGCCACCTGGACGCTCACCCGAGCTCCTCGTCTCCCCACCCCGCCTCAGTCCTCTCCCTTCAGGGGGTCCCCCTCTCCTGAAGCCCCAGCCTCATCCCCTCTTCACTCCTCATCCACATTTCTGTGCGCGGCTTGGTGCTGAGTGGTGAGCATTTCAGCATTTCAGCAAAGCCTGCCCTCAGGGAATTACTTCTACTCCTGCGGAGGGGGAGATGGGCAATCAGTGGGTAATCTACAAGTAGCCTAATGCTACTTTGCTGTAAGTACAGGTTGGAAATTAAGGCAGAGGAAGGACCAGAGGGTGACAGGAGGGATCTTTTAGCTAAGGCGGACAGGAGAGGTGTCTCTGAGGACATCTGAAAGAAATGATGGGAGTAAGGGAAACTTCGTGGAAATCTAGGGGAAGGGCATTCCGGAGAGGGAGAACAGCACGTTGAAAGGCCCTGGGGTCCACAGAGAGCAAAGAGGACGGTGTGGCTGGAGCAGAGAGTGAAGCAGGGAGAGAGAGGGGGCAGTCAGCTGAGGGAGGCTCCAGGGGCCAGACCCGTCCAGCCTCACAGGGAGGGGTGAGGAACTCGGGAGGAAGGGATGGGGAGCACTAGAGGTTGTTCAGCGCTGCAGTGACAGCCTGTGATTTCTGGGTGCGGGAGACTGGCCGGGAGGTAGGGGGGCTGGAAGCAGGAGAGCCAATGAGGAGGCAGTTGCAGTGGGACTGGCCCTCCCAGAGTGCAGCCCGGAGCCAATCAGAGCCAGGTCCCGCCCCCTGCCCGAGAGGCCAGCCCTGCCCAGGCCCCCCTCTCTCACCTGGGCCCGCGCCCCGCCTCCTCCCTGCTCCCAGCCTGGGTCTCCCCTGCATCCGGCCGGGCCTCCACGCGGGTCCCACAGGAATTTCTCTAAAACACTAATCGGATCATGTGACTCTCCAGCTTAAAACCTTTTCAATGGCTTCTCAGTGCGCTAGGAATGCGTCCAGCATTCAGCTTGAACTAAGAGGCTGGACACAGTGGCTCGTGCAGCTCCCGGCCTCTCTCCACCACACTGCCGGCTCTGATGTCCCAATCCAAGGCCCTCAGTCTCCCCCAACACAAGACCCCCCTCCCCACCCCACCCCACCCCAAACATGCTGTTCTCTGCTTGACACTTTCTC